TAAATCGTCTTCCTTGTTGAGTCATTGTGGCTCCTCTGGTAATAATACTTAATTTATATCAAATTAATTTCTTTGTTTTAGATGAGACTCATATATCATCGCAACTTTTAAAAGCCTTACTGAATGAATACGTCTGTATATATTCATGAATTATATCGTTTAAATTGGAATTGCTATCCAAATACGCGATGAGTTGCAAAAACGAACTTATCTTGTTCAAAGTTGACTTAATAGAAAATATGATTCAGAGCATTATTTCAAATAGTTAGTTATATTTCACGAACGCTTTCGAAATTTAAAATAAAAATAATAAAATATAAAGGTGAAGGGTCAAGTATCCTTAGGCACATGCATTTCTAGTCCGAATTAATCTGACGTTTTATCGACTTTTTTAATATCGGTCTGTCGTTAATCGACGACAGACCGATATTAAAAAAGTCGATAAAACGTCAGAATAATTCGGACTAATGCATTTCCTACTTAAAAACCGACATTATCATCGCAAATCAAATGTCCATCTGATAATAATTGACTATTATTTATTGATTGTTATATGATAACGCGTCGGTAGGGACAATTGATTATTACTAATCGTATGTGATAAAGTGTTGGTCGGGATTATTGATTATTATGTGATAAAGAGTTGATAGTGATCATTAATTGTTATATGATAAAGTGTTGATAAGTACTATTGATTATGATGTGATAAAGTGTTGGTATGAACTATTGATTATGATGTGATAAAGTGTTGGTATGAACTATTAATTATGATGTGATAAAGTGTTGGTATGAACTATTAATTATTATGTGATAAAGAGTTGTAATGGACTATATTAAATTGTTATAAGATAAAGTGTTAGTAAGGAGTATTGATTATAATATGATAAAGTGATGGTATGGACCATTACTAATTATATGATAAAGTGTAGGTAGGGACTAGGTCAGCCCATCCATTTGTTCAATTTTGAATTCCTACTACATGTACCTAGGGTTGCTTGCACTCAAATATGGTTGATATCCATCGCTTAGTTCTATAGTAGAAATCACTTAAAGCAATATAGCCAAATAACCCCTTTTGGCCCCACTCCTCAGCCCCTCCATTTGTACAATTTTAAATCCCGACCTCCCATGAATGATTTAGTATTACCAGCGTGTATTAGACTTGCTCAAGTTAGAAAAGTTTCTCGGTGGTAAGATTTTGAGATCAAAGGAAATATTCAAAATAGCACAGGACGTTAACGGTAAACGATATAGAAAAACTTAAGAAAGCTAATTCATTGAGATGGAATTCCACATTAACTGCAAAAAGATTAAACAAAAATTAAAACTGAAAAAGTTGAAAAGTTGAAAAATTGATGGCCTATGACCCGACAGGGATAATTTTAAATTGACATTTTTACTCATAACATTTTATTAAAAAAAAGTTAGCCCCAAGCAATATCTGTATATGATATCAGGCATAAATGCTGTGAAATAAACGGATTTCAGTGATGGCGATTTTAAGATTTTGACATATGACGCCACAGCAGCCATTTTGGATTTTGTCGTACTTGAAAATGTTGCAATAACATCTTTAGATTATTGCCTTCAATACTTTAACATGTCTGCTACCAATCAATAGAATAGGACGCCAAAATCTCATGAATCTGATGGTGAAAAGCCCTCATAATAAGAACAACACTTTCGACCCCTATGACACCCATCTTTCCACTATGATTCTGCCTCAAAATATTACTCTTTGCTTCTTGGTAACATAGAAAAAGATTGCTATTTTGTGTGTCTAAATATAAATCAAAGTACTGAGAGTACTGAGAAAACGGAAAAATTGCACGAAAACGAAAACGGTTTTTGACTTTCACTTTTTATAGTAGGTCAAGGTCATTCATTTGCACACCATTTAAAGCCCGCCAATCAAGCATGTTTCTTGCCAAACAAGGTCAATCAATTTTAAAAACTTGATAGTCAATTACCTGACTGTATGTATGTATCAAATATCAAGACTCTAGACCTTGTAGAACTCTAGAAGTTTTTTTTAAAGTCGTTACCTTGAAATAGCACATAGGAAATTTGACCTCTAAATAACTGAAAACTTGACCTGGTCAACTCAAGATGTTTTCTGCCAAACATATGGGCATTGTTGTTGTCCACATTACACCTGACTACAAAGTGAATCTACCGAACAGTTTTCGAAAAATTCTTGATAAAAGACATTTTAATTTTTCAAACATCTGACCTTTGTGACCTTGATAGTTGATCAAGGTCAACCATTTGTTCAAATCTGATAGCTGAACTCTAGATCTCGTAGAACTCAAGAAGAAGTTTTTTTTAATTTGTTACCCAATATAGTGCATTTGAACTTCAACCCTTACCAAAAAACGAAAGTTGACAAATTTTGCTAAAACAATATGAGAAAAAAAAAATCCTTTGCTTATTTCTATATAATATCCAAAGATCAACCTCCTGCTTGATATCATTAACGAAATATATTGGTATAGGCTGTTAAGCAATCAGAGTTTATGGCGGCAATCTTAGAATATTAATTGCTCCAAAAAGTAACATAAGTTCGTAAGGGCCACCAGAGGAATACATGTACCAATTGTGGTTAATATTGCAATGGCAGAATTGGAGAAGAAGATCATTGAAAAATGAAAAACTTTTAAAAATAGGTGACCTTTGACCCCATGGCAAGAATTTAAACTTGAAATTGTTCCTTATTTCATAGCATGGGCCAATTTTAGCCCCATCCACACTCTATCAATATATTAATAATATAAATGGTACTGTATTTATACTATAATTTATAGTATAAATACAGTACCATTTATAGTAAAGGAGAAATGGCCGTTTAAAAAAAAAAGGTAAATAAAACGCTTTATAGATCATGGTGGCCATATTGAGTTTTTGATCAACTTGAAAATTTGGCCATGACATCTCCAGACTATTACCTACAACCTGGCAAAATATCATGCACATACTTATTACCATTTTATACCATATCATGACTTTAGGTCTGTCCGTTCTTCTTCAGAAGTTGCTTAAAGGAAAAGTTGACAGATGATGGACACCGCACCATGATGCGAAAGGCAAGTTAGCTTATCATGGTGCGGCGCCCATCGTCTGTCAACAGGTGAGCTAAAATAATAAGATTTTTTTTATTGTGTTCAAAGATCCTTTTTTCTGTTGTCTTAAATTGGAAAAGATTTGCAATCCTGTTCCCTTCTGTCCAAAATCAGACAAGATTTAGAGACCCACTTCCCCATCGCTAATATAGATTTTAAGAAAATGTTACCTATTTTCCGATACATTTTAGACAAAATTTAGAGAATCCTGTCCTCCTTGTCTGATATAAGACAGATTTAGATACTCTATTCTCCATTGTCTAAAAAATTAGATAAGCTTCCCAGACTTTACCATATGATATATACAGATATTTGAGTCCCATGCAGACTCCTGGTTTTCTTGTCACTGTGGGATTTGCCCACATCTTGAGAACCTGTACACATTTTGAGGACCTGTACATATTGGTATCCTGTACACATTTTGAGGACCTGTACACATTTTCAGAACCTGTACACATTTTGAGGACATGTACACATTTTCAGAACCTGCACACATTTTCAAAACCTGTACACATTTTGAGGATCTGTACACATTTTTAGAACCCACTATATCTCTTAGTCATTGGACACATCAAACTTCTGAACATGTTATTCAAGAGTTGACTGAACCCATTCTACAGAAGTCACTGATTTGTTGTTGTAGACAATAAAATGACAAACTTTTCTATCAAAAACAAGAGGCCCAATGGGCCTGCATCGCTCACCTGGTATTAATCTCACAATTGTAACCTTAAAAGTGGACTAAAATAAAGCTACAAGCAAAACGTCAGTGTCTTGACTTCAGAATTCAGAAGAATCTGTGAAATGATTAAAACACATTTGCCCCCTGTGACCTTGAATGTCAAACATGGACATGAAGTTGAACAAACTTAATAGCCATTCATCCCAGAATGCGACTTGCCAAATATCACCACCCTATACCTTTTGTTTATTGAGCAGATGACTTTTACTTGAGAAAATTTGTGCACTATGGACCCGATGTGACAGTGTGTCAAGGTCATTCACATGAACAAGCAATCACCCTGCACCCTTTAGTTATTCAGAAGAAGTCCTTTAAAGATTTTAACATATTTGACCCCTGTGACCTTGACTATGGGCAAAGGTCTTTCATTTGAACAAATTTGGTAGCCCTTCACCCCTGCATGCTACAGGCCGAATAGCATCATCCTGTTCTTCTTGATTATACAGAAGAAGTCTTTTAAAGGGTTATACGACAATTGACCCCTGCGACCTTGAATATGAGTAAAGGCCATTCATTAGAACAGACTTGGTAGCCCTTCATCCCTGCATGCTACTGGCCAAACATCATCACCCAGGAGCTTTTGGTAATTCAGTAGAAGTTGCTTAAAGGTTTTTAAGACAATTGATCCCTTTGACCTTGAATATGGGCAAAGGTCAATCATTTGAACAAACTTGGTGGTTCTTCATCCCAACATCCTTCTGACCAAATAGCATCACCCTGGACCTTTTTGTTATACAGAAGAAGTTGTTTAAAGTTTTCTTTTAGAGATTTGACCCCTGTGACCTTGAATATGAATGAAGGCCATTCATTTGAGCAAACATGGTAGCCCTTCATCTCAGCATTCTACTGGCCAAATATCATCACCCTAGGCATTTTGGTTATTCAAATTAAGTTGTTTAAAGTTTTTCACATATTTGACCCCGGTGACCTTGAACATTGGTGAAGGTCATTTATTTGAAATAACTGGATAGCCCTTCATCCCAGTTTTCTTCTTGCCAAATATCATCATCCTAGGCCTTTTTGTTTTTAAGAAGTTGTTTTATGTAAAATATTGACGAGGGATGGATGACGGACTCGCATCAATTGGCATAAGCTCACCTGGCACTTCAGACCAGGTGAACTAAAAAATTATGATGTATAAAAATAAAATGTTCAGTTCAAATAATTAGATAATCACTTTAGATATGTTTAACAGAAATTTGTTTATTATGTATTTCCGTTTTACAAGGATTCCCTAAAATGACATTAAATAGGGAACCAAAAAGATCCTCTCAAATTTTGACAAGCATCAAAAAGGAGCTTGATAAACCTGTCAAATATCACAATATTTTATGTTATTCACATAGTTGATATTTCAAATAAAATTATGATAAATAAATTATATTCCAGAGAGGTGTGGGTTCAGTACTAAGATGTCTCTTCCTCCATCTCAGTTTTAACACCTTTGTTGCTGAACCCGTAGGTGAAGGGTTCCTTGTTCACATTGAGGTAGGTCTCAGTCTTAAAGGGGCAGGTTTGGAGATGTATCAACAGAGGCTGGGCACCCAGGTTTTCCCATCGCCTCACAGGATCAAAGGTCTTACAGAACCTCCAGCTCTGCAAATAAAAAACACAATAAAATAATAACAGAGCCACATCAAATATATTTGTATATTGTGTATAAACAGAGACATTACATATACATGTACCGTTAGCTATACAAGTTTAATCAAGGACCAACACTTATGCCAATCCTCTCGTTCGCGACTAGTAGATTCCAGCAAGGGGACTAGTGAATCACCTAACATAACTGCAAAAAAATCATTTGATAGGTATAAAATAAGAAAATTTCTTTTGGAAAAATACTTAAAATACAGATATACATGTAGTGAATGACAATTTTAAAAAATTCCCAAAACTTCATCATATCTTTCTGGCAGTAGTTTTGTATATTCCCTTCATTCTATCACTTTTATGTTTTGTGCTGGAGATATTTCCTTAAGGAAATCTTGGACTAGTTACATTGACATAGGACCAGCAAATAATCCATTCAACTAGTCCTGTAGGCTACCAAGCAAAAACATGGCAGTTAACTAGTTAGTGCTTAACCCTGTAAACAATACAGCAGTTAACTAGTTAGTGTTTAACCCTGTTAACTAGTTAGTGATAACCCTGTTAACTATACAGCAGTTAACTAGTTAGTGTATAACCCTTTTAACTATACAGCAGTTAACTAGTTAGTGTATAACCCTGTTAACTACACAGCAGTTAACTAGTTAGTGTATAACCCTGTTAGTGTTAACTATACAGCAGTTACTAGTTAGTGTATAACCCTGTTAACTACACAGCAGTTAGCTAGTTAGTGTATAACCCTGTTAGTGTTAACTATACAGCAGTTAACTAGTTAGTGTATAACCCTGTTAACTACACAGCAGTTAACTAGTTAGTGTATAACCCTGGTAACTATACAACATTTAACTAGTTAGTGTATAACCCTATTAACTTTACAGTAGTTAACTAGTTCGTGTATAGCCCTGGTAACATTTAGCAGCCTTTATAAAGTCAGGTATTCATGGCAGGGTCAAAATATTTTTTAGAAATTTTGAAATATCTATCAAAAAGTGCAGCAATAAACAAATGTTAAATTTCCAGTACATTATCAAATCTCAGAATAATATAGAATGGGTGGTTGAATTTAACACCAGTAGATTTTGTTTTGAAAACTCAAGGAAATACACGCAGTCATCCTTCAACACACTGTCCAAGCAGATGTAAACACAGGCCGATGTTAAACTTACCATGTGCTTTATGACCCATTTCTTATCCTTCACACTGCCATCAGCCATTGTCCACTTTGTGTCAAGTTTACGATGATCAGTACTCTGACTTGTATCCAAGCCCCCATCAGAGTCTACCTTTGTCCAGACAGGTGACACAACACCCTTGTCGATGAGAATGAGGCTGCAGATGTCACGAAGGTAGTGACAAGTGACGGAGAGATTACACAGACTGAATCCGTCTAGATAACTGGCCACTTTCTGTAACAGCTCCAACGGCAGGAGGAGGAGACTTGTATATGTTCTCTGTTCTTCCTGTGAAATAGAACGATGGAGCTCCAAACTTGACTGGTTGGAGAAAGTCTTTGCACTCTTCCTATTGAAAATCTCAGCAACTTTCAAACTCTCCAGTCTGTCACTCAGAATACCAGTTTGACCTTTTGTATCCAAAATCTGAGCTTTTGTTTCTAATGTCTGACCTCTATCATCCATGATTTCTAAACCGATAGTTTTCAGCCATTCACTGTAGACAATTTTTTTGTTTCCCTCAGGTTTGAAACATTTATAAGTAAAATCACAACCTGCAAATGAAAAGGGACATGAATCTTCTTTGTTTTTCAAATCCACCCCACCGAAATCTTCTAGGACATTCTTAGCATACCAGAAGTAGTCACTTCTTTTGATATCTTGACCATTGATAGACATGACACTGGCATTACAATGGGGAAGATGGTGTGGTAGTTTCCCACGCGGGAACTCCTGGAAGCAGCCATAAGCTCGATTCAAACATGGAACTTTCACGTTTCTGCAAAACTGGTTATGTTGAATTGCTTTGCAACAGTGAAATTTTAATGGACATCCGTATTTACAGTTGATAATCTGACAGCAGTTAACGTCGTCCGGTAGTACCTTACAGTCAGCTCGCACACACGCCTTACAATGGCTGTGTAAGGAAACTTGGACATAACCTCCAGACATCCTCCTTATTCAATCTCCCAAATGTTGTGACTACTAGTCCAATTAATTTCCCTGAAAATAGAATAAAAATAGAGTGTTTAAAAGTGTTGGTTCATTTTGTTTAGCGTCCTTTCAACAGCTAAGGTCATTTAAGGATGTAGGTGCCTCCATGTATGTTGTGTATGCATGCTTGCGTGTGTGTGTGTGTGTGTGTGTGTGTGTGTGCAGGAGACAGGGTTTCTTCTTCTTTATATACGAGGGCTCCATCAGTTTGATGATTATGCCATCGGGGGTCCTATTGTAGAGGCGTGAAGGGGTTATTTATAGTGATTAGGGGTGGGGGGTTTTTTGTGATTTTTTTTGTGCAAGGTATAGATAAAAATTAAAATCTGGTGTATGTACTAGTGTGTGATGAGGGCTTCAAGGGCTGTGTAGGGTAAGTGTGCCTTGAAGTCCTCTAGTGTTGTGCATTGGACTGCTGCTAAGGGGAGGAGATTCCATTGTGTTACTGTGTGTGGGAAGAATGAGTATTTGTAGGTGTCCTTTGTAGCAGATATGTATTTGTATGCGTACGGGTGTACCTGTCTGGTGCGGGGGTCTACAGGTGTGAGTATATGTGTTGGGTTTAAAGCTACGATTCTGTGTATAATTTTGTAAAAAAGGATAATTCTAGTGTATAAGCGTCGTGTTTGTA